TGTTATGGACTATGTTGCTAGGAATCTTCAAAAATGTCAATTGTGCATGTCGGATCCTCAAAAAGTAGTGTTTTCTTGAGAATTCAACATGGTCGGGACAATATTTTTGGAAATTCCGAGCAACATAGCTTATGATATCTGATGGGGAAAAGGGAAAAGTTTTGGCACTTGACAAAAGGTTCCCTTGAACTTGTGGTTTTAAACATGTCAGTGATGAACATGTCATTAAGTGCAAATAGAAAGTTCAAAGTTAAAAATATCCTAGATATAAAAAGGCGTAATTCTTTTAGAAACAAACTAAAAAAAGAACGAACGAGTAGTTAGTTTCTTAGCATTCACTTGTGTGCTTTCTATATTAGGACCTGGTTGCTCTTCAATTGGATATGGCGCTGCTGTGGAGTTGGGACCTCTGCTAGTTCAAAACAACGGAGCTGGTCTTGACTTCAACGAGCATTCTTGGAATAACGGTCATATCTCTTTTTCATTTATGCTCTATGTTGACTCTAAGTCGCTTACCAATTTATGATGAATCCTCACAACATAGAACATATTGACTCTATATTATGTTGTTGAGACGATAACCAAAAGTAGAAAATGATAATTTGTACATGTTTTAGCTTTGCAGGGTTTAGTAACTTCGTTCATTAACTGAAGAAGTTATATCGAACCTAATAGAGTGTGACTGTATTGTTCTTGTTGGACATTTTACTTGCAGAAGCCAATTTGCTGTTTTTGGAATCACCAGTTGGGGTGGGATTCTCATACACCAATACGTCCTCCGATTTAACCAACTTAGATGACCCCTTTGCTGGTAATTACAACCCGAGAAATGCAAATACATTTTCCAAAAAGAGTTTGCATTGTGTGTATGCAGCTAACTTATGAACATAATTTGCTTCACACAGCTGAAGATGCTTATAATTTCTTGGTGAATTGGCTGGAAAGGTTCCCCGAGTTCAAGAACCGAGAATTTTTCATATCAGGAGAGAGCTATGCAGGTGAGTAAACCTTCCCCTAAACTTCCATTTTAACGATTAAGACTATGTGTCTAATGTGTCTAAAGTAAGGTGCTATCTTTTGTGATCATAGGACACTATGTGCCCCAATTGGCAGAGCTCGTATACAACCGAAATAAAGACAGCAAAAAGTATCCATATATTAATCTGAAAGGCTTCATCGTAAGTTTACCTTTGTCTTCTATTGTTTTCGTACGCTATCTTTGTTTGCATCCTGTAGCAAAGCACTGCAAAATTCGCGGATAGTTGCAGAAATCGATTACTCACTTGCTCATTCTGATTTAAGCAGGAAAGAAAAAACAGAATATTAGCATTTCTTTACTGTTATCTTGAAGTTCCAGTGTCATCTATTAATCGTATACGATGACTTGCAGGTTGGGAATCCTGAAACGAACGATTACTATGATTATAAAGGGATATTGGAATATGCTTGGAGCCATGCAATACTATACGATTCGGAGTATCAGAAAGCCAAACAAGTATGCGATTTCAAGGTCTCCAACTGGTCCGACGCCTGTAATGATGCCATGCAAGTGTTATGGGATAAATATAATGAAATTGACATCTACAACATTTATGGTCCCAAGTGTCTCGTGAACACTTCCTCTTCTTCAGCTAGTGATATCGTTAATACAAACGATGCTTCTCAAATCATGGTGAGAATGATCTTGTGCTCCATCGAGTGCATATTAGCCTGCAGATGTAGAAACAATTTATAGTCCAAGACATGGGAGCTATTTTGAGCCTCTTCGAAGGCAACTATATGCTATGTTGCACACATGAACTCTTCAAAAATGTTGTTGAGTGCGTGCCAGATCTGCCAACAGTAGTGTATTTTGGAGGATCCGACAGGGGGGTGCAACAACATCTCGGAGAGCCTGAGCAATATAGATTATATGCACAGTAGACTAATAATGTTTCCGTTCACAATTAGTATTTCCATCTAAACAATTTTTCTTCATGAATCAAATGGAAACTTGACAAACATGACTCGAAACTCGGTTTCATTTTGATAATGTACTTTGTTGCAGGCACCTAATTATGGGTTCAGGAGGATGAAACGAATTCCGGGGGGTTATGACCCCTGCTATACTGCTTTCACCGAAAAGTATTTCAATAGATTAGATGTTCAAATTGCTCTTCACGCGAACACTGAAGGAAGTCAAGCTATAAAGAAATGGAAAAGTTGCAGGTAACTTCAAGTTCGTGTCATGGTTATATTTGCTCGAGCTCCGTGCAATCTTTTGTTTACTATTTCAGTATCCACTTCCTAACTTGATTTCTATTATACACTTCAGTGATCCTGTGTTTCGTACGTACAACTACAATGTATTCTCTATCTTGCCAGTATACGAAAGGCTCATCAAAGGGGGCCTGAAGATTTGGATATTTAGGTATTTGTGGTTTTATCTCTGTTTCATTTTTTGTTTTAGCTTGTTCTTATCCTTCTTATAGTTGCATCCTAGAATGAGGTTGACAAACATGACTCGAAATTGCTCGTGTTTTATAAATGGCTCCTTTACGTAACACTAATGCTAAAATTTATTACGTTGGCAGAATCTAATAATGCCTTGTGATTCCTTGAATGCATCTTGATGATCTGCTTTAGTACTCATTTTTATATAAGCTGACCTTCAGTGGCTCATTCATTCTTTTTTTTTTCATCAAAAAGTGGTGATGTAGATGGACGAGTGCCAGTAATTGGGACGAGAGACTGTGTTGAAGCTCTTAATCTGACTCTGAAATCCCCATGGCATTCTTGGTTTCTCAATAAGCAGGTTAGTTCTTCTTGTAGTTTTTGACTTAGAAAAATTAAATTGCAATCAAATAGAAAACTGTGCTTTAACATGAAAATGTTAACTCCATTTTTCGTCTCTCTCCCAGTCCCTTACTCTCACTTCCCCCTTCGAGAACTAGAAAATGTAGTCGAACTTTATTAACGTATCTAGTTAACTTATCCTGCTTTTGAAGATAATCGTCTCAATGAAATCATTGTTCGATGAGTCAACAATGCTTTATAAGTAAACCAGTTAAACAAAGCAATGGAGAACAAAACATTTCTCTCTACTGTATTCTCTTTTCGTTCTTGTTTTGTTATGATTTACTTTAGCCGATGGTCTATCTGAAACAACCTCTCTACCCTTATTAGGTAGAGGTAAGTTTGCATACACACCACCTCCCTAGACAAATATAACTAGCTAAGCATCGTTGATTGTTGGAACGCAACCTGAAAAATAAGATAGATTACATGTTACAACATAGTAGAAGTGCAATGTTAGTGTAGCATTATCACACTGTCAGTGTGTGTGTGTATAGTAACCGAGATCTACGTTGATGTATGTAAATGCAGGTAGCAGGACGGGTAGTAGAATACGAAGGGCTGACATTCGTGACAGTAAGAGGAGCCGGTCATCTAGTACCTCTATACAAGCCAAGTGAAGGTCTAGCCCTCATCCATTCTTTCTTAACTGGTGAAGAACTTCCATCTCATAGATAAACGTCGATTGTATCCCATAATAAAATCTCTACGATAAACATATCGTCGATGATTCATGCATTATACTTCTTGATTATACTACAACAAGAATCAAGAGTTGAGAGACCATAAATAAGCAAGTAAATGTCGAATGCACTTGCAAAATTGTACCTTTTGGTACTCTATTTTAATGAATTTCAAGGTGGTTCTCTTCATTTCTCAAGTGCCATTGAGTTAATTTATCATTTCGGTTTCCCATTTGGTGTTTGGTACCTGTATTGTGCCCCGACTAAATTTGGATTCGCGCCATAAAGGCTCGAACTTTAAGACAAAATGAATGAGTACTTGCAACTCCACCATAACGTACCCTTCTTGTTCTATGTTAATTTGTTTTCTTGAACTATTTACTTCCTATTGAGATTTCACTTTCTTTTCAAACAATTATTTGATTCCTATTACACCTATTAATAATTTAATTAACATATTCAGTGTAATTCTATAAGTAGAATTTGAGGAGGTGGACTGTATGCAGCTTTATCCCTACCTTGTGAAGGCAGATAAACTATTTTTGATAGATCTTCGATTCAACTAAGTATATCACAAAGCATATACAGTAATGAAGAAACCATGCTGAATGTTCTAAAATGAAAGTTTGAAAGGTATGAGTGTTCTAAAATGATTAGATCACTAAAGTAGAAAAAAAATCAATTTATGTCCATCTCTAAAATATTTTACAAGTTTCAATGAATAATTTAAATAAATATAAGCAAGTGATTCATATTTTTAACTATTATAAGACTTTGGCCAATGTTCTTCAAGAATACCTATTCAAATGGAAGTCAAGATCAATTTTAGTAAATAAATAAAAAAACATCATCTTTATGATTATTTATTTAATTATTTGTTAGTTTATATTTCAATCAATAACAAGTGGATTATTTTTAAACATTATTATCTTTATTTGGAAAAATAATAATAATATGAAGCTCAGACTTGGCAAATCACTATCAAAATTCATCAGCCTTTGTAAGAAACTTATAAATCTTTTACATCATGGTCTCAAGATCATTTTCAAATAAACTAAAAAAAAATTATAAAAATTTATTAAATAGCAAAAAATCTTTCACTGTGCCACACGATTCATTTGCGAAACCTTCTTTTCAGTCTTGCCTCGTAAGCAAAGAAATGTCAAGATAACACAATTTAAAATTTTGTAAGCTATTGCCAATATTAGACGATAATCTAATGTTTTGTCTGTAAAGTTGAGAAACCTATGAACAAATATTAGACATGAATCTAACGTCATCCAAAAGAGTAATTCCTCGAGGGCTATAATACTTACGCAAATTTTAAAAATAGAAACAAAATCTAAATGATGACAGAAAATAAGTTATATTTATGTATATCAAGCAAAGTGTTATATATCATCAGCCCAAAAAGGAAACTATACTATAAAAAAGCCTTTTAAGGCCCATCAATTCTGGAAAACAAAATCAAGAATTAACCAATTTTTAGAAATCAGTAGCCATTTTTCCTTCATTTTTTTCTTCAATTTCACAAATTATCCATGTTTTTCTTCAATTTTCAAGCTAATTCAACAACCCCATCTTCATCAAATTGCAAAAAGATCTCAAAAATGTGAAAAAGGTTGAATCTTTCCTCCATTTCTGTAAAAAAAATCTCATTTTTTGACCCCCAAAACAAATTTGAGATGAATTCACCATATGGGGTTTTCCCAGATGAGGTAATTCTTCAGATTCTTGCTAGATTGCCTGTTAAATCAGTTTTTAAGACAAAAGTTGTGTGTAAAGTTTGGTATAAATTGATATCTGATAAATATTTCACAAATCTTTATAATGAACTGTCAGTTAAGAATCCTATGGTGCTTGTTCAGGTTAGTGAACCTTCATCAGAATCAAGATCTAGTTTGATTTGTATTGATAATTTAAAAGGGGTTTCTGAATTTTCATTGGATTTTGTAAAAGATAGGGTTAAAGTTAGAGCTTGTTGTAATGGTTTGTTATGTTTGTCTAGTATACCTGATAAGGGTGTTTATTATGTTTGTAATCCATTGACTAGAGAATATAAATTGCTTCCTAAAAGTAGGGAAAGACCTATTACAAGGTTTCATCCTGATGGTGAAGCTAGTCTTGTTGGTTTGGGTTGTGATTTGATGAAACAAAAGTATAATGTGGTTTTAGCTGGTTATCATAGGTCGTTTGGTCATCGTCCTGAGAGGACGTTTATATGTATGGTTTATGATTCAGAGTTGAACAAATGGAGGAAGTTTGTGTCGTTGCAGGATGATCAGTTCACGCATATGAATAAGAATCAAGTTGTGTTTATTAATGGTGGACTGCATTGGTTGACGGATAGTTGTTCGTGTATGCTTGTTCTTGATTTGGGTACTGATGTTTGGAGGAAAATTCAGTTGCCTCATGAAATTAGTTGTGGAGTTAGGAGTCGGGTTTATTTGTTGGAATTGGATGGGAGATTGTCTGTTATTCAGATATATGAGGCTTGGATGGTTATTTGGGTAATGGAGGATTACGAGAAGGAAGAATGGCGAATGGTTGACAAAGTTAGCCTTCGATGCATTAGAGGGATGGTACCGGGCATTTTCCCAATAAGTCAAAATGACAACTATGTTTACCTTGCTACACATAAGCAGGTTTTGGTATATCAACGAAACAGCCGTGTGTGGAAGGAGATGTTCTCGGTAAAGGACAGCTCAACCTTGCCTTTATGGTTTTCAGCACATGCCTTTAGAAGCACTCTCTTTTCATGCCATTGATCCGAGGGTCGTGTACATCTTTCTATTCAACTTGTGTACATAATGCTATCGTTAGTCTTAATTCCTATCTCTTTTAGCGGTCATCATCTTCGTCATTTGTCATTTTGTGCATGCTGTGTGGAACCTCAAAGATGGTTTTGGCTAGGATATTGTCAGTTATATGTTCACTTATCGGGGAGCATGACAAATGGCTGACAAAGTAAGTCTTCAATGCATTAGAGGGGTGGCACCGGGCATCTTCCAAATAGGTCAAAATGACAACTTTGTTTACCTTATACATAAGCAGGTTTTAGTATCAAATAAACAGTCGAGTATGGAAGACGATGTACTCTGTAAAGGACAGCTAAACCTTGTGTTTATGGTTCGTAGCACACGCCTTTACAAGCACTCTCTTTTCCTGCTATTGATCAGAGGCTCACATACATCTTTCTATTCAACTGTTATACATAATGCTATCATTAGTCTCAACTCCTGTCACCTTGAGAAGTCATTGTCTTGATATTCTGCCGTACTGCATATGTCGTGTGGAACCTCAAAGGTGGTTTTGGCTGGGATGCAATCAGTTATATGCCGACTTATTGTGGAGAAAGGCAAATGACGGACAAAGTGAGTCTTCGATGCATTAGAGAGATGGCACCGAGCATTTCCCAATAAGTCAAATTGACAGCTATTGTTACTTTGCTACACACATAAGCAGATTTTGATTTTGATTTATCAAAGAAACAGCCGAGTATGGAAGGTGATGTACTCTGTAAGGGACAGCGCAACCTTGCCTTTATGGTTCGTAGCACCATGCCTTTACAAGCACTCTCTTTTCCTGCCATTGATCCGAGGCTCGTGTACATCTTTCTATTCAACTGTTGCACATAACACTATCACTAGTCGAACTCTCGTCTCTTTGAGCAGTCATTGTATTGATCTTTTGTCATACTGTGTATATCTTGTGGAACCTCAGTTCATCATAGGCTGTTGGTTTTGACTTGAATTAATCCAATTCAAATGTTTGAGATATTCTTTCAAGCTAGTTTGAAAGTGGTTAAAGTTATTGTAATGTATTGTTGAAGTCCTTTGTTCCTTATAATTTGACTCACCATCACTTCTTGTTCTCTGCCTCCACGAGTTAGTAGTAAAGTCTGCGTATATTCTATCTTTTCAAACCTCATTTACGAGATTTCATTGACTATGTTGTTGTTAGTGTACAATGATAGAGTTTTAGTTTAGGGATAATTTTTTACTACCAAAAATTGAAAATAATGTCTAAATATTAATTGTTGTTCTAATTTGACTCACCATCACTTGTTGTTCTCTGCCTCCACGAGTTAGTGGTAAAGTCTGCGTATATTCTATCTTTTCAAACCTCATTTACGAGATTTCATTGACTATGTTGTTGTTAGTGTACAATGATAGAGTTTTAGTTTAGGGATAATTTTTTACTACCAAAAATTGAAAATAATGTCTAAATATTAATTGAAGCAATTAGTTTTTAAAAAATAAGCAGCATGGTAAACAAATTTGTGGACAAACAAAGTTGGCCAGTCATATTCCCTAAAAGAATTATGGATAACATAGAAAATTCTAAAATTTTATTTCGTGACCTCTAAATGCTGAAAAAAGTGACATGATTCTAGATATTGTTCACTTGGTCATTACAAATGATTTCATAAAATTTGGAGTGAAACGAAGTCTGCCAGTAATATTTCAAAGTATTTATTGACTAATATACACGAAAAAAAAAGACAAAATCTTACGTTAAACGGAGTCTTCAATTTAATTCAGAAAAATCAAACATATATTAACACATGAGAAATATTAGTCGCCACTAGGAATCTGCCGTTAAAAGTAAGTATTAGTGACAACTTCACATATATTTGCCGTTAAAAGTATATATTTAATACTAATCAATTTCCCACCAAGCAAATTGACAAAAGTGCAATAACTCACAAATCATACAATAAACAAATTCGATACATCGATCTTTGATCTACCTTATGAAATACCACTTATTATACCAATTTAATTAATCATGATTATAAAATATTTTACCAATCATCCAATTTTATGTTACCTTATATCCTCATAAAATAAAATGTATATCAAAATGCTATTATATACTCCTTTATGCATGCATGCTTATTTACTAAAAAAAATGAAAACCAAACACAAATAGCTAATAACATAATAGAGTTTTCGTGTTCGTGTTTCTCTGAGTACGGAATCACCTTTATTAGGGAGCATTTTACCCAAATGTGGGACTTCCAACTTTTGTTAGGGAGCACTTGCCCCCAATATAAAACTTGTAGGCAGTGGCGGAGCCAGATTTTTCAATAAAGGGGTTCAACATCTAAAAAAAAATAGACACACGAAATAGCGGAAGGGGGTTCGACAGCTACTCTATATATTTAAAAAATTATTTTAACCATGTATAAATCATATAATTTTCCGCCAAAGGGGGTTCGAATCATAATAGGGTGGCTCCGCCACTGCTTGTGGGTGTGAATCCGGATTTAGTCGGCTCCGAACCAAAAAAAATAATTATACGTAAACCAAACAAGTCGTTATTACCCGTCATTATAGTTGGTTAGTTCCTGAATAGTTGGAGATCCTTTCATTGTAATTTTCTAGATTCTTGAGAATCCAATTCTTCAATTTGTGCATGGAATTTAATAATTTTGAAACCCAATTCATTATTGATCTTATTCGAGCTGTTAATCATCCTTTATCATGCCGACCCACAACACAAATTGGGTTGGCAAACTCTAATATTACCCAATTTAGGGATTTCAATCAAAACCCACAAATATTTCTGGGTTTTCCACCAAACCCAGATGTGATTTTGATGATGGAAATCGAAATATCAATGTCCCTGCTTCAGGTAGTAGTAGTAATAATATGTATTTTTAATGTGAATATTTGGGTCTCTTTCTTTTTCTTTTTTTTTCAATTTGGGGGAAAATTACAAGGTGGAGAATCGAATCCTAACCAATAAGGTGAAAGTTCAGGTAGTCAAGTTAGTGAGATTCTATTGTTTGGGACCGTTCTTTTTTTAAAAAAAATTGGGGTAGGGAAAGGGGAAATTACGAGGTGGGGAATTGAATCCAGACCAATATGATGAAAGTTTAGGTAGTCGAGCTAGTGAGATTCTATTGTTTGGGGCTGTTCTTTTTTTTAAAAAAAATAATTGGGGTAGGGGAAAGGGGGAATTACGAGGTGGGGAATCGAATCCTGACCAATAAGGTGTAAGTTCGGTTAGTTGAGCTAGTGAGATTCTATTGTTTGTGTGTGTTCTTTTTTTTTTTTAATTTGGGGTAGGGGAAGGGGGAATTACGAGGTGGAGAATCGAATCCTGACCAATAAGGTGAAAGTTAGAGTAGTTAATTTGTGTTGTTTAATGATTAATGTGGTGTTAATTGTATTTTGAAGGTGATGGTAAATGAGGGTTTAGTGCCTTGTGGAGAAGAGGAAATGAGGAGGAGAGATGCTATTGACAAGCTCAAAAAGGTTCCTTTTTTAAAGCATAATTTAGATTTATATGTATTTGATATACATTTTTTGCTCTTTTGTATGAATGGAATGTTTGTTTTACGGAAAATTACATTGTTTATACATGGTTGAACCCCCCTTTTGGTTCGTTGTGTGTTTACTTCTTCGTATATTGAACCCCTTAGTGAAAATTCTGACTCTGCAACTGCTGACATGCTAACAAGTTATAGTTCTTAATTGATTATGTAATTTGGTTCAATGTGAAGTAAACAACTCGGAAAAATGAGAATTGCCAGTTACTTGTCAATCTTTATGTTTTATGTCAGGGCCAGTTTCCATTACGTTAATTATATGATTTCATTCGAGATTCCAGTGAGCTACGAAAGCTTTTCAATCACATTATTTATTCGTTATTATTTTGCAGATAGTAGTGGAATGGGTTAAAACGGTGACTTACCAACGAGGTCTTCCAAAAAAGTACCTTAAGTTTGCCTCTGGAACAATATTGACATATGGATCGTATGGTCTAGGAGTAAGTCTAACTTCATAAGCTCTCCTTTGGTTTTCCCTTTTCTTTTTTTTTTGTTTCGACAATTTGTTGCAGCATAAGAGCTGTTCCGCTTGTTTCTGCAGGTTTATAATTCAGAGTCAGATATTGATGCTTTGTGTGTTGGTCCTTACTTTGCCACTATAGCTGTGAGTCTTGTTTCCGCTTTTAGCTTCTTTAATTCTAAAATGAGGTTGTGCAATGCCTGTAATGCTACTTGTCATGTGTATCTCGTTGTGCCTCGTGTAGGAAGACTTTTTCATCGTTCTGCATAACATGCTTGCAAGCAGTCCCGAAGTATCAGAAATCCACTGTGTCAAGGATGCAAAAGTTCCTCTGATGCGATTCAAATTTGATGGGATATCCATTGATCTTCCCTATGCACGACTCAAAGTAATATCTATCCCCGAGGTGAGTTATTTTGACTATAGTTCAAGTGAAAGAGACCTCGTTAACCAAAACTGTTCCTTTACAGATACCATACGATTACTGTATCTAATTGATTTTCTCTTTACATCTAGAATGTGGACGTATTTAATCCATTCTTCCTTAAGAATATTGACGACACAAGCTGGAAAAGTTTGTCTGGTGTGCGTGCCAATAGGAGCATTCTTCATCTTGTGCCAAACATAGAGGCAAGTAATGATGTCAATTTGTATTACTCCTTCCGTTTCAATTTGTTTGTCTGGTTTTGACTTGACATGGAGTTTAAGAAAGTCTAAAAAGAGAAAGAGAAAAAGGAAAGTAAGACAACCAAATTCAAACAGAGGAAGTAGTTGATAAAAATAGCATGGTTTGGCGTAGCATGCTTGACGGGGATCCCTTAGTTTTGACTTAGTGTGAGAGTTTCCGTGTATTACATTCTTGGTTAATTTGCTACAGGTATTCCAAGCAGTGCTGCGTTGCATCAAATTATGGGCTAAAAGACGTGGAGTTTATGCAAATGTAAGAGATTCATGAACTCGCTCTCCTCCTTCTATATTTCATGCAATCATTTCATTTTCTTTTCTTGCCTTGAGTCAAATCTAATCATGCGATAACCTTCAGTTGCTTGGATTCTTCGGAGGAATTCACTTGGCCGTGCTTTCAGCATTTATTTGCCAAAGGCATCCAAGTGCCAGCTTAAGCGCACTCATTTTACTTCTGTTCAAGACATTTGCTTTGTGGCCTTGGCCAACTCCCGTAATTCTGCAAGACCAAATAGCTAGGCCATTCATCCCGACTCATGATAAGGTTTCGTGGATGCCAATCCAGTTACCATGTAGCCCGTATGAATTTTGTCATTCCAACATTACCCGAAGCACATTCTATAAAATCAGGACAGAGTTCCTAAGAGGACATATGTTGACTAAGGTATATGATAATTTCGAATATATCCTGTCATTTCCTTAGTCCTCTTTAGTGGTTATTTTTTTCTGTATCGCTCACTGTATGTAATTTACTTGCAGGATATGTTAAGCCCAGATTTTGATTGGAATATCCTTTTTGAGCCTTTTCCTTATGCAAGAAAATATGGATTATTCGTTAAAATTTTCCTTTCCGCTTGTGACAAAGATGAGTTAGGAGACTGGGTAGGTTGGGTCAAGTCACGTTTTCGCAGCTTACTGGTCAAGGTATGTCCCAGCTGCAGACCTGTTTTCTCTGTTTTAGTAAAGGTATCATCAGTAGTTTAGCTTATTGCATCGGCATATTGGCTAGTACGGTTTACTGAACCGAGTAGGTACTAAAATCTTATATACCAGTGAGAGTCGGAGACAAACTTGTTCCTGTATACTACATTCCAGTCATGTTTGTTCTGTGTTCTTGTCTACAAGAAGTAGCATTGTACTTTTAGTTCTTTCGTAACTAGACTTTCTTTCATTCCTTGCAGTTGGAGGAGTTATTGGGTTTTTGTGACCCGAATCCAACTGAATATGTTGACACAGATGCATCAGAGCCTAATGTCATCTTTTACTGGGGATTACCAACTGGTAGAGCTGATCTAATAAACGCTGAACTCGTGGAAGAATACTTTCTGAAGAGCATCGATCACGGATTGAATCAAGTCTCAACTGGAACGATGAAGTTATCGATTGTGAAAGCATATCAGTTGCCTAAAAAAGGTGATCAGCTTACTGCTCTCGAACGAAAGAACTCTAAGACATGCTGGAGGGTTGTTGATGGCAATCGAAAAAAAACTCCTCCACAGCCTAAGTATAAACCTCATTGTGCTGAATCTGCTGGTGATTACATGCCTACAAACGAAAATCCTGAGTTCCCTAGTGCTGGGGGATAGGCTGTTGTGCTACTCGGAGATATTAGAGCGGGATCCACCATTTGGGAAATACTGAGTCGAAGCAATAACAAGAATATTTCTAGTAAATACAGAGTTGACACTTGAACATATTTGTTGATCACACACATATAGAGAACATGAAGAAACTTTGTACATTTGCATTGTATTGTATTAATTTTGCAACTTTTGATCCTCACAAATACTTTTTTTTTTTTTTTTTTGCTATTGAATTAATTGATGGAAGAAAATGTAAAGAAAAATTGAATATTGATGTAATGAAAAGGGGAGTATTATTCTTCTTATCCTTGTTTGATTTATTTTTTTTAAAAAATAGTTCCTTGATTATTTATTTACTATTTTCTGATTTTTAGCAATATTGGTTGATTAATTCTTGTATTAATGGATGGTTGTTTGGTACGAAGCAAGATATTTATCTAGAAAACAAATCATTTTCTGGCAACCAAATATTGAAAAATCATTACAAGGGGGAAAATACCTTTTTTCGCTTATTTTCAGAAAATTGTTTTTCGAAAAATATTTTTCTTCGTACTCAACACGCCTCTCTTTCTTCTGGTACCTTGTAGTTTTTCTTCCTTTTTATTGAAAAGGTTAAATTGAAAGACAACCAAATATTGAAAAATCATTACAAGCGGGAAAATATCTTTTTTCGCTTATTTTCAGAAAATTGTTTTTCGAAAAATATTTTTCTTCGTACTCAACACGCCTCTCTTTCTTCTGGTACCTTGTAGTTTTTCTTCCTTTTTATTGAAAAGGTTAAATTGAAAGACAACCAAATATTGAAAAATCATTACAAGGGGGAAAATACCTTTTTTCGCTTATTTTCAGAAAATTGTTTTTCAAAAAATATTTTTCTTCGTTCTCAACACGCCTCTCTTTCTTCTGGTACCTTGTAGGTTTTCTTCCTTTTTATTGAAAAGGTTAAATTGAAAGACAAAATAAATATGTGAGTTATGATGTGATGATTGTGATTTATTCTTGTTTAATTAAAGATGTAACTAGACAAATGTTCTACACCAAAATGTAAGTGTCATTTCATGAATATAAAGGGAGTTATAGCCAATGGGTTGTGGTGCGCTTCACCCGTAACCAGAGGTCTCGGATTCGAGCCTGACTATGGAGAAAATTCTGTTGGGAGTATCACCCCCGAATGGGCCCTACAGTGCGCGATTCGGATTTAGTTGAAGCTCCAATGTGAGCTTCGGACACCGAGTGGGAAACAAAAAAAAGAATGACGGAGGCACCAATGTCCCAAAAGTATGACGGAGGGTATCTGCATACCATTTACGATAGTTCGAGGGTATATTTGTCCTTTTTCCCATTTATTATATATATATATATATATATATATATATATATATATTTGTCCTTTTTCCCATTTATTATATATATAGTTGAGTGACCATCAAAGTTATTAACTCGAAAAATGAAGGGAAAAAATATGAGGGAATTACCATATTTGGTGACAAAAAAACAAGCGGTGGTTTGTTTATTAATGATTTGATTAGGAACGTAATTAATTAAAACAATTAATTGACGGTCCAAAAGCTTTTGTTAGTTGGCACGACAAGTAGCTAACGTCGCATTTGGGAAATCAACTAGTGCTAAACAAATAACGTTTATATGTGACGTCCATGACAGAGGACGGGTCCAGAGAAGAACTGACAGACTTCTAGGTTGACAAGTTTCTAAAGAAGCGGTAATGAATTCCACGTCGAATAGGGAGAGAAAAGTAAAGAATATTATAAAAGATAACACAAGTTCACATCATACACATGTTTTTGGACTCAATAATACGAAAATCAATAACAATAAGGCACGTTAGACCAAAACGAATAATACGTACTATGAACTTTGGTTACCAAATATGGTTATGTATCACTTTCTTTTTTTATGAAATTAGTAAAACTAATTTAACTTATTATATATGTTAGCCCAATAAAGAGTTTTTACGAATTTATTATATTTTATTTTTCATTATTTAAACTATTAATTTAATTTAGTATGCTTAGTTTTATCATGATTAAGTGATAAAATAAGATGATATTATGTATTAAAGTAATTAAGATTTAATAATAATAATATTTATAAAAATATCTATGATACAATTATTGATTTAATATAAACATTTGCAAAATACCCAAAAGAGGAGAATTTCAAAATGATTTGATTTAAATTGAGTTCAAAAAAACGTTTATTTCAAAGTGTGTATATTGTATAATGAGGAAACCATGTTTTCATATAGTATTGACTTATTGTCTATTAAGCAATATTTTCATACTAAAAATAAAAATAGAATTCCTCAATTTGATCCAACTTGACATAGTTGTGCAATCAATTATCATTAAAAAAAATAAAAAATAATCAACAGAGTCAAAATCTAAAGTTGATGGATTCATGATTTTTGTCATCTATAGTTACTGATTTTTAAATTAATAATAATAATATATATATATATATATATATAAAAAAAAAACTGAAATACTAGCTTCGTCCATGTAATGAGATTGAGTTGTAGGGAGATTCAAATTGATTTTTGGGTGTTGTTTTTGTTGATTTGATATTTGATATCTACATTTTACTGATCTGATTAATTAAAATTTGAACCGAATAAACTAATAAGTACTAAAGTGTAAAACACATTCTCTATTTAGAAATTTCTCGTTCCCAAACTTTGAATTCAAATCTTTAATTAAAAATAGAGAAAATCTAAACATTTGACTTGCACCTTTTAATAGTGATTCATGAAGTCGTTATTGATTTTTAAATACTTTTTCAATTTTAGCAATTTGGGATTAATTTATTGTGATTCGATTAATCTAAATATTTCTCTTGATATATCACTAAGGGGTTAAACTCTTTTCGGATAAAAAAATTTCATATTCTCAAAATTCTAACTCGAACCAAAATTAAGAATAGAGAGACCAAGTCATAACATAAGCTACTTAATAAAACTTGTATACTACGTTAATTAAACCAGCTTAGCCCTAAATACAGAGACGTGTAGGAATAAAACTCTTCATAGTGATTCCAAATTGGGAATAAAATTTCAAGTAAGACAAAAATAAATAAATAAAATATAATCAATTGCTTAACATGATTAAATTAAGGGAAAAGGGACAAATATACCCTTGAACTATCATAAATGGTATGCGGATATCCTTCGTCATACTTTTGGGACATTGGTGCCCATGCCGTCCAAAAGCTAGAGCATATATACCCTTTATACTAATGGACATACACGTGTCATAATTTTACCTACCGACCCGACATTTATTAAATATCGGATCGACAAATAAGATTGCGCTACGTGTCCCTATTAGTCTTCCGTTAGCGTGAAGGGCATATATGCTCTAGTTTTTGGACGGCAAAGGCACCAATGTCCCAAAATTTCATATTCTCAAAATTCTAACTCGAACCAAAATTAAGAATAGAGAGACCAAGTCATAACATAAGCTACTTAATAAAACTTGTATACTACGTTAATTAAACCAACTTAGCCCTAAATACAGAGACGTGTAGGAATAAAACTCTTCATAGTGATTTCAAATTGGGAATAAAATTTCAAGTAAGACAAAAATAAATAAATAAAATATAATCAATTGCTTAATCATGATTAAATTAAGGGAAAAGGACAAATATACCTTGAACTATATTAAATGGTATGCGAATATCCTTCGTCATACTTTTGGGACATTGGTGCCCCTGCCGTCCAAAAACTAGAGCATATATACCCTTTATACTAATGGACATACACGTGTCATAATCTTACCCACCGATCCAACATTTATCAAATATCGGATCGACAGATAAGATTGTGCCACGTGTCCCTATTTAGTCTTCCGTTAGAGTGAAGGGCATATATGCTCTAGTTTTTGGATGCCAGGGCACCAATATCCAAAAAGTATGACGGAGGATATCTGCATACCATTTACGATAGTTCATGGTATATTTATCTTTTTCCCCTTAAATTAATATACACTCATATATTGCTTAATCGTATGATTAAATGCTTGATATATATTATAATTTTCATTTACCTCGTCTGGTGTAGGGGTGAGCTAGCATGATATGGTATTAGAAATCTTGGATCGGTAATGTTGATTTTTCAAAAAATTATTCCATTATTATATCAATTAATTCAATGTTTTTAAGTTTGATTTCGATATTTTGTGGTACAGTAAATTGATAGTCATACTTTGTTTATGATATCGGCTTTAATTAAAAAAAACATCTCAATTATATCATTCAAACACTTCGCTATAGAAATATTTAAAGAAAGTACAAGTAATTTCCTTCGTTAATCAATTACACAAAAAATAATCAATTAAGATAAAGTAATCAAAGTTCCAATGTAATATTTTATATATTTTCTAGTATAATAATAATAATAATAATAATAACAACAACAACAACATACACTACATATTTTGGTATTCGTTATTTTGACTTAATACTGTACCTAATACCAAAAAAAAAAAAGTTTAAAATACATATTAATACCATAATACCAAAATTATGATATCAAATATTCAATGTTAATATAGTGATTCAGTATCTACCGTATCATAACCACCTCTAGTCTGATGTAAACACTTGGTACAATAAGTTTTTACCACACACTTTGAGTTCACACTTTTTGTTTTGTTTTATCATTCAGTGTCTGGTATCTGTATTAGAGTCCGATTATTCTAAATTTGCACTACATAGGGCCCTATTAAGGGGAAAGTGCTTCCTACAAAAAAAATCCATACTCAGTGCTTGATTTTAAAACTCTGATTAAAAAAAAAGCAGCTCCATCTATTTCACTAGATCGTTAGTTGAATCACACAATTGCTTTGGTCGCTTTCCTTCCCTATATATATGTCAAGACAATTGCTTTAGTTATAATCTAAACAAAATCAAACACCTTTAATAATATTCCATTAGCTTTTTCTTATATATATTCCTTCATCAACTTCTCATTTCTTCAATTCTCAAAAAAAAAATAAAAAAAAAATGAGAAATTTATTCCCCATATTGATGCTAATCACCAATTTGGCACTCAACAACGATAACAACAACAGCAACAACAACAATAATTATAATCTCATACACGCAACGTGTAGGGAGACCCCATATTACTCCCTATGTCACACCACCCTACAATCCGATCCACGTAGTTACGAGGCTGAG